AGCATCTATGGGGCACATTTTGACCTGAATGAAATGAACTTAAGTTTTAAGAATAAAGTATATCAACTGATCCATATGAAGTTATTTTCACCAGTTTGCGCAATGACGTGCGCAATGATTACATGATTATAGGGAGCAAGCCCAGGAAAGTGAACTTACTTTTACGTCTTTTATTCCGATTGTTCATCAAATTTTTCCGTCTTTTCTAGAGTGAATTTCACAAGAGGAAGCAGTTAAACCTTCAACTATATACACCTTTCTATTGCTAAAATGTTGAGCGCAACAGTAAAACGTACTCCAATGTAAGACTTTACATCGGCATAATCAATATTTAAAAAATGTATTGTGGTATCAGATTTCAGGCTGCAACAAAGTTACAATTTCTCTGAAAAAGACGACTATTTTTTCTCGCATTAACACTCATAAAAACAGATTCGCCGACTGTGAGGCACAAGTGGTGTAATTGTTGAAACTGTGCTGCACTAAATTCAATCAATGCTCTTTGCACAGTGTCTCTTGCTCTTTGCAAGTGAACTACGAATTATTTTACTACACCAAAAATGTAATCAATAAAAGATACGCGGTAATGTTCTTCCAGATCATTCAGTGCGCAGTTATACCCATCGGAATAGTATATGATTTCAAGTTCGCATTTGGCGGGCAAAGTTAACATTTGGTCCTCGTTTACAGATATCTCTATACCTAGACATGTCAAGTTAACATTTATTCCCCGAATAGAGATATCTCTATTAAGTTCCCGCATCCGAGGTCAGCAGGTCGCCCTCTTCGTTTTCTGTTTAAAAATCTATTATCTTGAGGCTTAGTGAAACTTCGTGCGTGACGTTACAATGAACTTTCCGTGGACGCAAGTGCAGGACCGGAAACATAATGGGGATATCTCTATTCCTAATAGAAATATCTCTATTTCTAATAGATATATCTCTATTCCTAATAGAGATAACTCTATTAGGAATAGAGATATCTCTATACGCAGATTAAATGTTAACTTTGCACGCCATATTCGCAACAAGGGATTACCAAGTCTATCATGCCTCATCCCCAGGCAGTGTATAATATCTCCTTGAGTTCCTAAGGGCAAGGTGCCTAAGCTTTGAAGCTGCCTACCGCCACCAAGCCCTGCATATCTTACCGGGTACCGTATACTTAGCAGTTTAGGGATGTCCCACGCGAGCAGCCAGGCAAAGCAATCGGGGAAAGAGGAGCAATCTCACCCAATAACGAATGAGTTACCATTACAGACTCTCTTTACATATAAATTTCATTCAAGGTGAGCTGCCAACCACATTGCATTCAGAAAGCAAGGGATATTTCATTCCCAAAAAGAATACTGGTTTAGATATTTGGTCTCATGTTGATTGTACAAAGAATTGAATTGTGATATTCCCTACCCAACACCCAACGACCCTGACATAAAATAAAATACCAGCTCTAAACATTGACAATCCCTGAGTTCAAGGTTAGCAATTTTACCCAACTGGAAATTCAGTTGTCTCCACTTTGGGGCCAAGCTTTCTAAAAATTATCCGATCTTGCAAGAGTTAATCTTTTGGCCCCTTATATGTCGTTAGAGAACTTTGTCCATTTTTGTTTTCCCTTTTTGTCTGGTGGCATATGTACATAATCATTCAAAACAAATTCCCAACCTTTTCAAAGTACACGTCCGCTGAAATTATAAGCTAAAAGATATCACGACCGATGGTGTGTCTCAAAAATCAAAACAAAACAAAAAACGGCAACCCGAACCTAAAATTTATTTTTTCCAATGTAATTGTCAAAAATCATTGATTTCGAATTAGAAATTCCAGCTTCCAGTGTTTTCTTCTTAAAACTGAAAATTTCATATAAAACTCATGTTGAGTTGGAGAGATATTTTTAATGTACTTTAAGACAACTCCTTTTTGTTCGGTCCAATAGAGGTTTGAACAGTTTATTTTGCAAGGGTGTCCAATAATTGAATTCAAATCCTAAATTATCATAAAGCTATTTCGGTTCACTTGACATTAATGTAGTGGTCCAGCCCTGCCTTAAAGTATCAGGGGGTGATTCGCCCACCGGAGAAGGGGAAGATGAAGGGAGACTAAACATGCCAAAATAACGACCCCAGACTTCTCGTCTTTACAAGTATTGGTGCATTTATTTATTCCATCACAGAGATCACACGTACCAGCTGACCAGTCCTAAAGTAGTAGTGGAAAGGACAGGCTGAGCCCCCAGTCGAGAATCCCAAATGACGAAAAGTTACAAGTGTAAAAGAAACTCTGTACAATTGAAAGAATAACGGACGTCTTTAGTCATGTAAAGGCTATTGTGATCAAGTACATGTACAGACATGTAACGTTATACATGCAGCTTCAAGTGTTTGGCAGATACATAAAGTTTTCCGGAAAGTTACCACTAATTCCTTTAAATTAAACCCACCTTGACGTTCGGGGATAATCTATTCAAGTGTGGGTTCCCGTCCAAACTCTCTGGAAACTCTCGATTTCCGGGGTTTTAGCATCAAAACTTGTTGGTTTGTTTGAAGGCTCGGCGGAAGACGTCAGCCATGATCTTCAGAATGCAAAAAAAGACTCCGCGTGCGCGTTTAAGCACGTAGGCCACGATGACGTCACCTTCATAAATTATGTTAATTTACTATGCCCCGGATCTCCACATTAATCCCAATCGTCTGGAATATAAAGAAGTTTTTAATACAATGGCGTAAACGTGGCATTTTAAAAAAATATCTGGCGTAAATCATATCGGGTAGAACAAACAGATACAATTCTCCCCGCAACGCGTCATAAGATTTTAATACATGAAATCTTTAGTAATGAAAAGATAAAATTTCAAGCTTCAATTTGATGCCAAAAGGAACTATTTCTGACGATTAGTTTGAGAGAAAATAAATGTTACTTTTTGGGGTAGGGTATACGCCGTATACAGTAAGACCGTTCAAGAATTCGGTCCATCTGCAAACAGGTCAAGCCTATCATGCACCAATAGCTTTCCCAATCACTTGCGCCTGACAATGCTCTTGGCAGACCCAACTTTTCGCTCTATTTGTTCAACCTTGTTGACAGAAGCTTTCATTCCCCGGAAGTGCAGAGTTCTGAAACTGCCACCCGACTAGTGAGATCCTTACAAAATATTTAACGACATTTTACAAACTGAATGTCGACATCCTGAGATCAAAGCATGACAAAATCTTGAAAGTAAGTGCATGATACATTGTCTAAGGAAGTCGACGTCCTATTTTTCCGGTTGTTGTCTCCCTGTGATCAACTCTCTCCAGACGTCGACATCTTGCTTGAAAATGTCATGGTCCTGAGATGAAACATGTCAGGATCTCAACAAGTCCAATGGCACCTCTGGAGTTCCTTAGCCAAGAGAGACATCACAGCTCCACGTAACACGACAGGCACAAAGGTACATCAATCAAACGTTGATGGACAAACATTAACATACTTGTCAGTTAGGTAGGGGTTACTTCACCTAGAAGTTACACGAAAACTCCTGAGAGCTTTCTTTTCTTTTTCTTTAGTCTTACCTGACCAAATTCTGTGAATACTTTTTCACTCCAAAGCTTTCTAACAACACATCGGATCGAATGTATGCTCTCAAGTCATATTATTTATATTTGTGAAAGCACCTTCTTGAGAGCATTCAATCCTAATACTCCCAGGCTGTACACGCATCTCAAGCCATATTTTGTACATTTGAATCTGAAGTCAAAGCCCTCTGAAACGTGTCAGTATTGACGCTAGGGGCAGGGTTTGCCACTTGACACAAGCTTGCATCGACTGGAAGGTGTCATAACTTTTTTTTTTCTGGTAGTCTCGAAGGACTGCTAAACATATCATTCTTCGCGTTGTTGAGTAGTGTCGGGCATTCTCAGAATAATACCGCTCGGAGCTTGTAACAAATATGACTCTATACTTCTACTGACCGTTCCGATAGGGTAACGATTTTGCTGCGCCACATTGGTTCGCACCAGTTTTTGCACGATCGAGATGGAACATGCAAGCAGCCCGTGGGAACGAGGCGGGCGTTCCTAGTAAAACTCATGGATAGTAAGGAAACTTTAGCAATTTGTTCACGCTAATTAACAGTATCCTGGACATCTGTAATGGTAAATTTGACTGTATAAAGCGTAAATTTCTGCCCGGATTCCTCTCAGCTCTTTCCCTACTTACCAAATCACAGCCGTGTGAGTTTCTGTTTTTGGTCTTTCACACAAACATTGTGCACTTGCATTCATCACGTTAACCATCACAAATATGCTATTTTGCTTCTCTCTTTTAAATGTGTTCATTTTTCTTTTTCTGCAATTTTTCAGATTTCCTTGATGGCCCTGAACCATTTCCAGGAAACAGGAATGCATTAACCGGGTTTCGTGTATTTTTCTAAACTATTGATAAAATGTTTAATGTTATCATCTTTATTGTAGGAATTTAAATCGCCTAAATAACAAAGAATCTTTAACACAAAGCGCCTTTCCTTTCTAAAAAATAACTTGATTCTGTTTAAAGGCCAGTTCTAGAAGAAGTCCACATCGTATACTGCTCTCGATAAATCTTCGTTGGAGCACTGGCTGAAAAATAACTATATTCCAGGGTAAGTGGAACTTTTTGCAATGGTGGTAGGCTCCATGAGTACCAGACCGGGGTACGCCATGTTGACGTCGGGACCGAATCATTTCGTGTCACATTACTGGCAAAATTGTGGCGACATGAATCAGCGCACATACAATGTAAACTTCATAGAGACGCTGGTGCCGCGTCCAAATCAGACATGATTGCAAGACAAGATGGCGACAAGGCCTCGTGAATTTTTTTCAGTTCGAGAAAGACTGTCTTCAAGTTCGTGGTTTGTTGCCGCAACGTTCGTCAGCCTAACACTGCGATACAAAACTTAATAGGCGTGATTTTAGACACGTACGGTACGCCTGCGCGATAGCTACCTCCAGTGGTCTATTCCGCCTGTGTTTGCGTCCATTCTACATGTACTCGCCTGCACATCAAGACTGAGAGCTGCTCGTATACGTCAGCATTGTTCCGGGGAGTGAGCGTGGTGTGTGGTGGGAAAGTTCATCTACTTTGCGTCAGTACAACCATGCAGTGTACCGCGAAGGATATATAGCACAACTTCCGCGAAGGTGCCAACTCTAATACCATTACATCGTATTAACCGCCGATGACATTAACAACCAAACATTTTAGTGTGAAAGCTGCTGTAAAGCGGGAGTTCTTGACGGATCGCAGCGTTGGGCAGTGCAATCGTTGACTATTCTTTGTGTTTGGCTTTTCGTTGACTCAAAACTGTGAGTATGGCTCTCTTTTCATTTTTTTTTAATTTGACTGGCTGTGATTTAAACACAATCATTGAAAATCTGTATCCGATGAAGTAAGTAAATACCGAATCAGCGGTGGGGTGCGCGTCTTGGGTGAAATGAAATTATGTTTGTCGAGTATCCGTAACATTCGAGTTAAATTTTGAGCAGCACTGGCAAGATGTTTTGTCGTTGGCTGATTTCCTGAGTTTGGTTTTTATGTGGTGTCAGATTTTATCCAAAAAAGCGTCAAATTCCAATGAAATGTCGAACAACTGTGACTGTAACTGTGGGTCTTTGGAGACAACCGTCCAGCTTGTACATTTGTCTTTTCCATCTCTCCGCCATGGTTTTGCCCTTATTTCATTGTATATTCAGTTAAATTTAATTTTTCAGATACCTGATACAGGGATGATTTTCTCAAGTATAAGCAAGCTTTTTGTAGTAATGTCATTTAACCTTTTCAAAAACTGTATTTGCAAGTTTTGATCCTTGTTTAATCGAAGTACGTGTAATATTTGTCTCTAATGCAAGTTTAAACAAGAAAATTGTATTCCTGTGTGGACTGACTTGCCTTCTAAAGCTTAACCTCAACTCAAGTTGGCGGTGCTTTGACAAAAAACAGGGATTTCACACGGATCACATCAAAATTCCTTGTTTATTATAAAACATTGGAGTGTAAGCATTATGCTGGAGAAACACTTCAGTGATCAAATTGGAGGAAATTGCATTGGGGAGGTTGGGAGTCCTTGCCGGTTCAACCCACGATTTCTCCAAGCTGTTGACCTATGATTGCGCACATTCGTCATAATTTTAATGCATTAGCAACGTCGTAAAATCAGCCGTTCAACAAGTAATGGACGACAGGGTTTATGACAGATAGAAAAATGATACAAATGTGCTTTATTAAAGGGCACTGTGATTATAACAAAGTGCAGCTATGCCACTTGTTTTCGCTATTATTAAATTTCAGTTACCGTTATCTAATTCCTGACTCGGAGTTTTAATTTTCGGCAATGATTTAGAGCCCTTCATTTATCTTGAAAATGGAATATAACAACACAGATTCAAGAAGTGCACGATGGTTAATTGGACTGTTTTGATATAGGCCTAACGAAACCTCTAGGATAAACATTTTTGTTTATTGGAAGATCGAGGACGAATCCAGAACCACACTTTGGGGCTGGCATTTTCAAAATTTCGCTTTATAATCTTTTATGGCCCTTTTCTGAGGGAGGTTAAATGTTGGTGCACTTCACAAGTTTTATAATGGAAGGGAAATATTTTTTCTTTTAAAATCAATATTTTCTTATTTTACAAAAACCAATCGTTTCTACTGAGGTATGGTTCCGTCAGCCCCCCCCCCTGATTTTCCAGTGCATAAGATCAGTAGTACTTAAGTTCAAGATGGTTTTATGTACCACACCGTCCCATGTAGCGACCCCTTTCAGTACATTTTTGTCGATTTACCTAAGAATGAACAAAAGGTGTCACTGCGCATAACCCTGGGAGAGTAGCATGGTTGTCTTCTAAGGTGTGTCTTTATACTGTACTTCAGCAACAGTTGAATTTCAGACATTTCGGCCACCTCCTGCAGTATGGCCATGTGTGCGTGGGCGTAACCCCCATACGCCCTTCTTTCTTCTCGACCCGCTGCGCTCATGTCTACTGATCGACATTCTCTGTTAAAACGATCGCCCGTATGTTACAATAAGCCGCAACCCTCTGCTTTCAGACGGCCCCTACACGTGTCACAACCTCTGTGATTAAGGGTACGGACGCTGCGACTTTACTCACTACCCTATTCTTTGTCCCTTAAGCAAATCTGAAAATACTGTTATGGTGATACCAAGTGTTTTGTTTTGATATAGGGGGTGAAATGCGTGAAGATTGTCGTTGCTAATGACCAACGCAAGGCTTGAGTGATACATGCAACTGTTGCATCGGTATGCATGCAGTTGTCCGATGCAATAGAGTAGGGCTATAGATACTGAAGTGGTGCAGGCCTATTTATGGATTTATGGGCCTATATTCGTCTTGTTAAACTGCGTGTTTTGTCGTAGATTCCATCCAACTGTGCAAATACATAAATACCGTGTAGCCTAAATGTTATTTCTAAGAATTCGCCTGTAGCAGACCCCGCATCATTGTGCATGCAAGGTGTCTCTTCGACAGCATCAAAATACCTCGCCGTTTTCATCATCTGGCTAAAACTGAAATTAACAATAATGTGCATCTTTTTGCATTGGCTTGTGTTACTGACTAGCTGCAACTGAATTCCCTATGCCGCTATTCCTACTACATCTCAAACAGGGCCTAACCGCCCGGCTTACGTGATTTACAGCCTGCGAATAAATTGCCAAGAACTCGATGAATGTCAAAACCTAGCGTCGCGCCAAGAACTTATCCTCCGTACCATTACGCGACTGGAGCCTTTGAAATAAGCACCGTGTCTCCTCGAGTTCCTCAGCCGCACAAATAATACACAAATACGCGCACACACAAAGATTTTAATAACCCAGATTCTTACCAGCTCTTATTATTTTGTGAATGGTACACTTGAGCCCCTTGCCGGCCGGACTGAATTTCATGAGAAGTATGTTTGAAAACCCTCTGTCATCTGGTGGCCCTTTCTGAGGATTTAGTTTACGAACGTGACACCCACACTATTGAGGGAAGTGAAGAAGATGGTTCAGTCCTAAACAGTATCAAGCCTTGGACTGGGCATGCTGAGTGCCTGTAAAGTGTTCAAATTTTCCACAGAGATTAGGCACTTTTGGTATTATTACTTTCGTCTCGTTTAAAAGTACTTTTTTAAACTGGCGTGGGGTTCGGTGTCAGACTTCCCCTGCTTTAAAAAATGATCGTTGACCAGTCCAAAGACTGCAATTTATTCAGTGTTCAATTTCGACAAGTATTCTAATAAATGAACTTTCTTTTTATTCGTTGTTTGCCAGACTGGAGAGCGTTACCATGAATGCTTGTGTGTTAAAAACCTGGTGGATCTTACTGTGTGCTCTTGCAGCGACTGCATTGGCGTCACCCTACGGCCGATTTATGGTAGGAAATGGTGTTGTCTTTTGTACATCCTCTCCTTTAAAAAAGGAATTGCTGCGAACTGAACAAAATAACAGGATAAGAAAAAGGGTGCCTGTTTTCTTTTTCCTTCTTTTTTAAAGCTACCACGACAAAGGGGTTGGGTGTGTGTTTGTTTTGGACTCAGGGGGGTGCTGTTAACGGTGGACTGGATTGAACGCTTTCTGACGCGCTACATGGCCCTGCTCTTGTGGTTTCTTTTGCCGATAACTTTCAGACAGAATGTCACACCATTCCCCACATCTCGATGAAGTGAAGTCGCAGGCCTTGTAAGACTCTGGTCCAATCGAGAAGGGCCCAGTACGAAGTCAGGGAATTGTATGAGATCTGTGCCTTAAGAGATCGGATCTCTTGAGGTATTGAGTATGTTCGTTATTGTAACTGGAAGGGTTTGCATTTCATAAGGAGTAAAACATCATCAGTGCAGAGTCTTGCATTCAAGTTTGTCTTTATTCAGTAGGACATCTCTGCATTTTTTGACTTGGAGATGTTTTCTAAGCTGTTGCCAGGGCTGATCTAGATGTATGAGCCCCAAGCTGGACCAGGAGAGGGTTTCATTTTCCTAGCAACGCCTGCTTTTTCGGCAGGAAGTGCACTTCGCTGGTTCACAAACGATTACAATATGTTAGTCTGTTCGCGTCGCTATTGCCGCTACCAACAAAATCAATACTCCCCACCAACCTGGCTCTTTTCAACCGATGTGGAGTGCCTCTGCTCAAGACGGATAACATATACGTTTATCATGCATCAGCTCACACCTATGGGCTCCACATTATTTTCTGTTTATTTTTTATTATTTCTTATGTTTTGATCGAAATGGAATCTGCTACTCGTAATTACGCAGTGAATTCAGAAGCAAAATATTGCATAGCATTAACAAAACACGCCAATGTAAGGCGACTGCCAGTCGCGAATATTTAATCCCGAGCTGTTTGAATTTTGTACAGCAACAGACAGGGTTGCCACAGGGTTGTTCTTGCTTTGCCCCAAAACGTGAGACGACATCAGTAAGACTGGGAATTATTCACTAGCGTACAGTGACGTTCAAAAGTGATTACCCTCAGCGAAACCATCTTCGTTCTTGCTAACTGTTCTCAAGGACGGGCTTCGAGTCCTTTGAATTCAAGATGGCTGACTTGATGAACATGAGCCAAGGAAGTCGAGCACATGCCTGACACCAAAATGAGCACATCCTTCAGTCCAACACCATTAATGAACCTTGGGTACAGCGCTGACTTTGATGTGGGCCAACGCTAAAAGTCTGAAAGGGGAACGGTTTCAATTTTCCTGGTCAATTCAATTGAGCCGTGTCGGTGATTGAATTTGGCAGGCAGGCTGAAATTATCGCGGTTCCAATCTGAGACAGGGTAACTGTGTCAATTCGATGCAAAGTCGAACTTGAATATGATAAAGATGTTGTACCTGTGCTCTGTTTTAAAACAGAAACAGATGAATCCTAAAACGGTTCACCGAGTTAGGTATTTAGGTCACTTTACCAAGTTCTTCATCAATGTCTGTTTCTAAAGGATCATCCAGTCTGATGAGATAAGGATATGGTCAAGCCTTCTACTGGTCGGCTCGTCCTTCACAAATTTGCTCTTGAAAACTCACTCCTCATTAAACTACCTCCTGCATGTACGATCTCGCTTCTGGTAAACATACCTCTTTTAAACTCGTCCCCTGCAATCGTTCTCTGGGCAAACCGACCCCAAGGACATTTGCAGACACGCATACACGTACATGTACGCTCACGAACTTTTGTTAAGTGAAAAAAACAATGATTGTTCCCAAGGAAACTCACCTGGTATTTCATTGCATTATTTTGTGGCGTTTCCAACCAAAGGTCCCCTTTTTCAAATGTGTTGGGACCAGTATACATGTAAAACCTGACGATAGCAATCCGTCTTCGCGGCAATAGCTTTCCGAAAACGCCCACAAGCAACTGAAAAATCTGAACCCAAAACACGGTAAACGATGTTTTACGAGATGGTTCTGACATTGTTTTCCTAAAGATTCATCTATAAGCCCGTTTTGTACCCGTACGTGACCCTCCCAAATGTATATAAGTGATACGCCATGTTTGGATTGTTGCTTGATTGCTAACGATAGGGCCTTGCTAATGACCGGCCGTTGTTTATTTCAAACATCATAACATTTTTCATTCACTGACAGGGTCTGCTTACACCAATTCGTGTCATTCGCTTCAAAGAGGAAAAGGAAACATTGCTCTGATCGATTTGAAATCCTGAAAAAAAACTGAGCCAAATATCTGTGGGACAGTTGGCCTCCAATCTCACTTTGTAATTTCCCAAGAGGGGTGGAAGGACAAAGACAACAAGCCATTTCTCGCAGTGGTCCTTGGAATTGTTATATTCAATTTTGCCGTTGCCAAAATGCAATTTTTCAAAGTACAGCCGGGGATGTTCTCGTGTCCCGAACCAAAACTGTTAGACGTGTCATTCCGTTGAACGGAGACGCGAAAGAACTCTATATTGACATGCGCGTCAGAAATCACCATGGCCAGCGTGCAAATTGCCAGTCATCCGTGCCCAACTGTTACACAGAGTACAAAGTACCTCCCTTATGCATTTTTTAAATTCAGTACCAAAATCGCGGTAGACCGTTCGTGAAGATCCCGAATCTCAGTTAGTGTCTCTCGATTTGTGTGAGACCTTCACCGTTCCTCGCCTTATTACACTTTGTGAATTGAATGTGACGCGGTGCGAGTGTTTTTTAATTTGCACAGCACAAAGTCCAATTACTCATCAACAAAAACAGGAAACCAGACGAAACCTGTCCCTAGAAAACGGAAGACTCCGGAAAAAAGTGTACACGCAGGACTGCGTGCTATTACGTGGCCAAGCATGCAAAAGCGGACTTGGAGGTACTGCATGCGCTTATTTTCTTGAACTTCCTCAATGTTCGGAGCGAGATACATGTATGTTCCCAGTTTCATGGCAAGATGTTGAATGAACTGTGTTGGGTGAATTTCAGCTGAGTTGGCCTTACTTTTTCACTAGGCAATTGGGAGTTGGGGGGGGAGGCTGTTTTACGCGCTCTCGTGCATCATCGCCGGTGTTTCGCAGCTGAATGCGCAGGCGGTAATGGGTTCCCTCGGCCAATTGAATTAGGCGGTGGGCCTGGGCGGTAATCGGGCAAAATCAAACATTTATGCCTCCTGACATCCTGGGTAGGGACTCGCTACGACACTTTGCAACGCAACGGACTGAAACTTTGCAAATATTGTGCTATTTCTAGAGGAAAACAAACAGTGGAGCAGAATACATTGGCCAGGGATAACTTTAAACAACGTTTTTCCGAGAAAAAAATCGCGATATCCGGCGGCACGTTACATCCTTCAGCACCGAAGAAAAAAAGCATTCGATAAAACGGGAGGTAATGAGAAGTTTTTAAGATACATTTTCTCTTTTGACGACTTTAAAAGCAACACGATATTGCTCTTCCGAACACGTGGCAGACAGGACATCTCACCGTGCTCTCAAAACGCAAGGTTCTTCCTTTTTACCACATCCAAGTTGTTCTTTCCACCAATTTGGTGTATATAATGACTGAAAAATGAAGCTGGAGCAAAAACAGTGGCTAAAAGTGCAGTTCATCATTCGCCGTTTGTACTTATCATTTGAGACAAAAAGAAAAAAAACCAATTACTCAAAGTCTAAAGAGCGGTGCCTATTGAGACCAAACGTGATGAAGTTTCAGCCAAGTGAACACTTTGTGTGAAAACAGTATTCTAGGGTTTAGACATGTTTTGAACTGCGATTGAATTGAGTGTCTGAGCAACGTTCTCGTGTTCAGTGGAATTGCTGCAACGCGATGTCACGCAATAAACTGACGAGTTTTAGTAACCGCATGTGTGCGTGTCGTGTCAACGCTTGCTAAGGCGCCTGATGGCAGTAAGTTTCCAAAATGCGATTTTGTTTTCAGACTGAGAGCTCCCCAAGAGGAATAATTTCACGTCAAGTTTAGTCCCATAACAATTTTTAAAGTGTGCTTTTCACGTAGAGCTATATATAAAAACTTACTAGAGCGCTAACTTCTCAATTCCTGCGCGGAGATATTTTGACGCCGTCCTTGGGCGCAGACATTTTGAATCAATGTGCGTGCTTGTAGAATAGTTAAAATCAACCTCCATCTCCAATGGCTGCGTTGTTACATCGCGCAAGGCATGGTGGTATCAAACCAACATGACGCGGCAAGGGATTATCCATGGGAACGAGGTTGATTCCAAATCAAATAGAATGAACATCGAATAATGTACTGTAAATGAAAGGTACAACATACGCGAACGTCAGTGCGAATAAATAAGACGCACTTACCTCATACATATTCATGACGGATCGCCGAACTCTCATTGGTGAATTCACGGTCACGCAAGTGGTGCTATTTCGCTGTTTGCCAAGCACACACGCGATCGTTCACGCAAGGGGTATATACACATGCGTTTTTCACTGTCGCCCGGCTTATCCGGGCGACAGTTTCAAACGCATGCGCAGTAGCAGAAAATCCAGGAACTGTCGCCCGGGTGTACTGTGCGTTCGTGGTGGCGCCAGCCTAGCAACGGTATGTACCACAGACATATAAACACATAGACTACCAGTCTTGCGCGTATAACCGTGATTTTAAAAAGCGTGGGCAAGCAATGTTTGAAACGATGGATGCCAGTGAGAATGTAAATATTTGTTTACATAGGCTCTAAAAAGACGCTCCTTTTTGCTCTTTTGTTCAAATGTTGCAAACATAGGCCTACTTTTCGAATCTGCATGGGCCAGATTAAGTAAACAGAGCATTTTTTTCACAATCGGAAAAGGGTTTTATAGAATGTTATGGCTTGGAATTCTTCAACTGTGAGTAAATTCCCTATACTGAGTGGTGAATTTGGCCACGCCTTTGGATTCAGTCAGGTGCCGTCTCAGCTCCGGTTCCGCCGTTGTTAAATAGGAGCTGGCCGTCTATGCGTTTATATGTCTGTGGGTATGCAGCTCATATGAAAAGATGGCGGCACACGTAAAAGACAATCAGATAAACTGTTTGTGTGTTCGACCTTAGGAACAAAGTAAAAGTTCGTGGAAACAAATTAACGATGATGTTTTTATTTTCAGAGGTTAAGTAAGATATGAGGTATAGCAAAAGAAATCAAATAAATGCCGAATGGGTCTCCATCCACTCCGAGCGGAATAAAAGAGGGCAAGTTTTTCGGTACTCACGTGGCGCGCAGTTATATGCGCGTCAAGTTAACGCTAACGCACGCATGCTAAGTGCGCGTAGGCCAATATAGTTTATTCTGACATGTATGTTCTTTGCGTACATGCAGAACGCGTGTAAGAACCCGCTTGTAACCACCTGTCTTTCTTTCGCCGATTGGGGGTGCACTTCAGCTCGGGGCGGATTATGAGGATGTATTCTAAATGCAACTCACAAGTACTTCTCAAACGCGACTCGACTCCATGGGGTGCGTGCGTGTTCCTTCATTAGATCGCGCAAAGAATGCTGGGAATCAACATGGCAAGGCAAGATCGTACCCATGGGAACTTCGTGAATCACACGCGTATTTCAAAAGTTACTCTCTCGCGCCTACGTATTCTACTGCACGTCACACACGCGTAAATCTACGTCGCGCGTAAACACATTGATAACAGCTATGGAGCTACTGCCAGGTGTATTTTTTGCGCGTCTTCACGTATTTTCAATGGAGTGAAGACCTAGACCTAGCTCTGGGCAACAGATTCGGAAGCACCCCCCCCCCGAAAAAAAATACAAGTAAGGGTATCGTTTGAAAGATAATTCATTTTTGTCGCTTGTTCCTCGAGAGAGAGAAACCCAGGGGCCAAGTATATGTTTTTTTTCCCGTTTTCAGTGGCCGTCGACGATACAAAACTAAACACTTGCCACTTTTTGACGGGATGGATAATTTCCTTGGTTCCTTTTTTCCCTTTTTGTGTGCATATAGACACACGAGCGATGTAATCTTAAGCATACTATCAATAATCAGTGGACGAGTGTCATTATTTTGCCTAGTGGCCCGTACAGGTGTTACGCACATCCCACCTGCTTCTTGTCCTCTCGCCCAAGACCTACGACGAGCATCCTGGCGCGTTTAGCACAATGACAACCACTATCATATTCGGCCCCATCATCATCCATTAAAGCGGAATAGATAAGAAACAGCAATGACATCTTGGCTTTCTTGCTTGGGTGTAGTCAGACGTGCTTAATTGGGATGAAGTGAACGGTCATTTGAATTTACCGTCACTAAGAGCTTTGCTTACCTACACAATATGAGAGAATGTATTGGCATTTGCAGAGTGTAGACCACTCAAATATTTAGCTCGAGCAAATTGAGACCAAAGGCTTTAATACCACAACAATTTTAAAACAAATACTCAGAGTTGCTGGTATTGATTGATTTTTCCTCAGGATAATTATAAAGACGACCAGGATTCAAGACGACTATTCCGAGAAGGTAAGTTTTAATTGATTTTTTTTCTTTCTTTCTGTTTCCAACAAATCGTGAGCGGCATGCATGCATCTGGAAAAATTGTTGTGTGCACGACATGAGTGCGTGACAGACTTCATCAGTGTGTTGCAATTGGGGTTTCTTACCATAAGAAAACTGCATGTGTAACTGTATTATTGGTCACTAAAAAGTGTGTGAGTGCTTCAGCCATAAACAAATCAATGAATATTTTTCTGTGCAAATAATAAATAGTAATAAATATTTATAAGCATCTGCGCAGAAACTGATAAAGATCGACGGGGATAATACACGTTGAATTTTTTGAAAAGTACGCATTCGTAGATCCAACAATGGTGCGTCTTCATATTTTATTCAGTTTTGGATTCACAAACATTCTGACACAAGCTGCCGGAACTCTGGCCCACGGCTCTAACGTGACTCAAACTGCAAAGGTGCACCTGTCTGTGCCTTCACACCTGCGATACGTGTATCTCTGTCCGCCCTCGAACATCGTCACGTGACCGGTGTCAACTCAGTCCGGTTTGCGGTTATGGTCATTGAAGTTCAATGCCACACGCGTGCCAGGCCGCATGATTGTATTAAGCATGCAGTGGGAAAGATATACATACGTTACTGACCTGCCAAAAGAAAAATGGACACTGCGCGAGAACGGTACTTCTGATCTTCACAAAATTGGTGTCAAAATTACCCCAAGACAAAAACACCACTGAAAGCTGCAGTGCAAGAATAAATGTGCTACGATGATATCAGAAAAAAGTCCAGGGGGAGAGTTCCGGCCCGGCTCTGTTAGAGTTAACACAATAATGAAATCGCAAATAAATCCTTCAAGCACATTCGGCTGGTTGGTAACATAACTTACTGGTCCTGGACCCAACCTATGCGCATTCAATGGTGTATCCGGGGGGTGGGCCATGCCGGGGGCACCCTCTCCTACCATTCACAGAAATTCTCTAAGATAAATCGTCCCTTTCGTCTCCAATGCAAAGTTGCTCTTGTTTGGTACGATCTCATTCATTTGGGTGATCCCTTTTTCGCGGTTTTTGTATTGTTTGAGGCTCGTGGATTTCGATCTCTGTACCGAGTCGTAGTTTTTCCATGCTTCCTTGCTTTTTGGCAGACGGTATCAAAGCAGAGCCTAGTCTCCGACGTCGTGATGTGCTGCATGGAGAAGCAAGCCTCGTTCTTCTTCCGGCACTCTTTGACCAGTAGTCGCTTGGGATTGAAGGTGTCATCCGCAAGAACGCTTGCCCTCCAATGTCTTTCGCTTTAGCCTGATGGCTTTGCTGCGATTTTATATGCAACCTGAGCCACGATATCGTCCCCTCTAGTTGTATCAGCCAAAACATCCAGTAGTCTGTCGTCAACTCAGAAGAATTTATTGATACTTTCGACACCCTTACGATGCTCCAGTATCGCTACTTCTCAGCCAAGGATGATCTAGAAGTCATTTTAACATTCAAATCGGCCGACAGACGGGAACAGCGTGAAACAGGAAACTAATATACCAAAGAAAAATGAGATAATGGACCTCTCAAATAGAAACAGTTAGCTTGAAAAAGGAGAAATCAATATTCCCCCGCTCTCCGTTGCGTGACGCAAAAAGGGATTCGTCAAATCATTTATAAAACCAAATCTCTAATGGACTGAGAAAATCAGCTCAGATTTTTTTAAAGGCCAGTCATTGGCAACTGTTGCAAAATGTCTGTGCTACTGGACCACGGCCAGGTTTGGAACCGCCGCAGTAGCCCCGCAACACTGCCAGGTTCCGTGGCGTCGTCCTCATTCGTCAACGAGTAAATGGTTACTTTCATAGGAACTGAATCCTCTAACTCTCACGACAAGAATACTACATGTGTTTATATTTACAAATAAGTCATTTGGGAGACATTTTGTGGTAAATTTTTCAGCATTAGGGAGACATTATTTTTTAGGGAGA